TAAGCTGGGGGTTTAATTATTTTTTATTACTTTACATTGTTTGGATACATGTCTGACTGAATTTATGTAAAGATGGCTTCAGTGGGTGTCTACAGGTTCTATGCTAAGTGTGTCCTTGGTACCATGACTTTCACCCTCCCCACCAAGGAAAATGGGCTACTGACTGCGCCTCCCACTGACCTCTGCAATTATCATGATACTCATTCTCAGCAGAGGCCTGATTCAGCTGGCTAGGCCAAAGTAAGCACGAGGTACATGCCAGTCGAAGCCTCTAGTGAACACTGCTTCTTACTGAAGGGGTTGTGTCAAAATAGCCCTCTCCTTATCCCACTAGTTTTGCCCCTGGGCCTGATCCACCCACCCACTGTTAGGGCAGTCCCTGGGCTATCCAGCTGTATTGACCAAGACGGCAAGCCCCCTACTTTTTTTGGACACTGGACTGGCCTGGAGCCGGGCTGTGCCCAGTGCCTGGCAAAAGCTAGTGGCCACGTTTTAATGGAATCAGACAGATGTGGTATCATTGATTAAAATTGTTATTGAGTCAGTTTCGGACTTTCAAAATGTGACTCTTAACTTTTAACTCAGTACTCTCAAGTCTTGACTTGATAATCTCAACTCTCCAATCTCGACAAATTCTCAAATGGACAATATTTGGTGGTTCTTTGGCTGTTCTTTGATGGTTCTTTGGCTTCTTTTTGAACACCCTTAAGAGTGGCTTCTGAGAAGATCAACTATACCTATGCAGGATAGAAAAATTCGATTTGGCCTAACTTTGCCAGGATGAAGGCCTTAATTAACTTGTTTCAAAACTGCAACTTTGAAGTTGCTTAGTTGACAGCTTATCATGTTTACAGCCTAGGGTGGCCTTAACCCTTTTCATGTGCAGAACTATTGAATGAAATTGACAAATTTTGTCACTGTTCAGCCTGTATTATCGTATGTCACAAATAGGGATCCCAGAGATTTCATTACCTTCGGCAACTTTAGAGCCTTTGAAGTCTTTAAAATCACCTTCTTTGCAATGTAATTGCATCTACCGGTTTTTGTTTATGAAGTGGATGAGACAGAAATAGCGTCGAAAAATAGCCAAACTAAATATCTCACTAAAAGAGATTTTTCAGAAAGAAATAAGAGCAATTTTCGGCTCTCTCTTTCTCGTGTTAATTGGAATTTACGTTTCGATGAAAGCGATACTAATGAATGTTATAATAGTTTTGTGAGTGAGTATGTTCGATTATACAATGAAAGCTTTCCATTAAAAACGATAAAACTTAAAACAAAGAAAGTAATGCGCTCCCCTTGGATAACGCAATCTCTGCTTGTTTCTATCAGGAAAAAAGATAAACTCTATAAGCAGTTCATTAATTCTAGGGACTCAACTACTGAGTTAAAATACAAACGCTATCGGAACAAACTGAATCATCTTATAAAAATTGCTAAACGAAAGTACTATGATACAAAATTTGAGAAGGCTAAAAATAACCTGAAAGAAACTTGGAAACTAATCAATGATGTAATCAACAAACCGAGCAGAAAAGCAGCTCTGCCAAATTCCTTTTTCTCTGATGGAAAACTGTTAAATGATCCACAAGAAATAGCTAACTGCTTTTGTAAGTTCTTCACCAACATAGGTCCGAATTTAGCAAGGAAAATTCCAGACACACAAGTATCTTTTCGTAGTTTTCTTGGCGCTTCTGTTAATGAGTCGCTTATCTTAAATCCAACTAATATTTCGGAACTAAATCAAATATGCAACTCTTTTAAATCTGGAAAGTCGCCTGGATATGATAACGTTTCAATGGATATAATAAAAAGCACCTTTGATCTCATTTCTCAGCCTTTGGCCAATGTAATCAATTTGTCTCTTATTAAAGGAGTATTTCCTGATGAACTGAAAATTGCTAAACTGATTCCGGTATTTAAAGCTGGTGATTCCCAGTATTTCACTAACTACCGTCCAATTTTCGCTTCTTTCTAATTTTTCTAAATTCTTTGAAAGAGTTATGCACAATCGTATTACAAATTTTTTAGATCGTTTAGATATCTTATACTGTTGCCAATTTGGATTTCGTAAAAAAATATTCTACAGCTGTCTTTAATTCATCTTATTAATAAAATTGCAACTGCTATTGACAGAAGCGAATATACAGTTGGCATATTCTTAGACTTATCAAAAGCATTTGATACTTTAGACCATCAAATACTCTTGTCTAAGCTTGAGCATTATGGGATTCATGGGCTAGCACTTAGCTGGTTGAAAAGCTATTTGTCAAATCGCGTGCAGTTTGTCCAGTACAAAGAGACTTGTTCTATTAGGCTGACTCTGAGCTGTGGAGTCCCTCAAGGTTCTATATTAGGACCATTATTGTTTGTTTTGTATATCAATGACCTCCCTTGTGCTACTCGTCTTGCTGAAACTATGCTTTTTGCAGATGATACTAGTGTGTTTTATTCTAATCCCGATTTAAATTGTGCTATTTCTGCCGTAAATAATGATTTATCTCAAATTGATCTTTTATGAAAGCAAATAAGCTCTCTGTTAACATAACGAAAACTAATTATATCATTTTTGCAGCAAGGCAAAACCAGTCGGCTTCCCAATAAATCCTGTCTTGTACGATGAGGTTTTATTAAAACAAGTAAAGGTAGTTAAATTTTTTAGGGTTTTTATCGACGAGCATCTAACGTGGAAGCCGATATTACTTATATATGTAAGAAAATTTCAAAATCTATTGGCGTCATGTTTAGGTCTCGTTTCTTTCTTTCTGAAACAACAAAAAGTCTCTTTATTATACCTTAATTTATCCTTATTTAACATATTGTACCACAGTTTGGTCCTCCACTTATGTAACAAACCTTAATAGAATTTTTCTTCTACAAAAGCGAGCAGTACAATTATTACAAATGCAGATTTTCGCGCAAGACTCTGAACCATTATTTTTCCGTTTAAAGATTTTGGACATATACAACATTAATTCATTCTATACTGCACAATTTATGTTTTCATATTATCATCAATTACTGCCACCGCTTTTTTCGAACCTTTTTGTTACTAGTAGCAATATTCATAATTATAATACTAGAAGTTCCTCGCATTTCCGTTCTCATGCCTGCCGAACTAACACCAAACAATTTTCTATTTTGTTCCAAGGCCCTAAAATTTGGAATTCTTTACCAAACTCAGTCACTTCGATTTTTACATTGCAATCGTTTAAAACGAAAGTTTTTGATTTTCTACTATATCGATAATGCGTCTTGTACTGTCCGTTGTTGTGTGTTGTTATAGTTCTATTGCTTAATATTATTGTAACGAGGGGGCCTCCTCGTACAAGCCTTGTGGTTTTCTGAGGTCCCCTCGCCACATCTTTGTATAATGTAATGCTTGTGTAATCTTTATTGTGGGAAATAATAAATAAATAAAATAAATAAAAAGTAATGGAATGTTCATGACAATATAAGCCACTTTTTTAGCAGTAACACTTGAATCACCAAGATATTTCTACCTGGCACAAGTGAAGAGAAATCCCAAGGAAACCAAACAGAATTTACTTTCAGAATCACAAAAATGACGACTTACCTTTTTGAAAGGCATCTGGGACATGAAATGTTTTGTTTTAATACATTATCTTTTAAAACATTACCCACACCTTTACTTTTGCATTCATACCTTTTTTCGTGCCACGAACATTGCTCTGATAAGTTCTTTTGTCTCGAGTTTTGGGTACTCTTTGGTTATGTATGCATTTGGATAATTTGTCGAAAATCTCAATCCTTTGCTTCAAAAACGGTGTCCCAGGAAAATGTGCTATGATCGGTCAAGGATGTTGGTGGGTGTTCTCTGGCTAACACGTCCCACCCGATTAACTTCTCACACCGCCAGATTGGTAGATACCATTTTCACAAACAATTTTTTTTGATCACTCGAGAAGTGGTTACTGATATCTCTGACCACTTACCAGTTTTTTCGATTCATTCTAATAATGACTCTTCCCACAGTCACGCTCATGACCCATGACGAAATCTATGAGTAGTTACAGGCCTTGAGCCTAGGGATACTCAAAGATTTGGGTAATTCAGTAGTGAAAGTTGAGTGCAAGATGAGAGTAGCCAAATCCCCACTAAAGTGCAGAAAGGCGGGCAAGGAGGGCGGAGCGGGAAATAGGCGCATGCTTTTTCTGCCAGTACTTTGAATGATAACGGAACTGTGGTTGTATTTTGCTGTTAATAATATCAACAAAATTAATGTTTGAGTGTTGTAGGTGCTCAAGATCCTGAGTTCATGTACATGAGCACCCCATTAAAAGCAATATCTGAGGATGATAGGCAGTGGAGTGTGTGTATGTGTAGGGAGGAGGGGAAGCTGGCAGCCACATCTGATCTTCCCCAGGTCATGTTTTCCACGATTGCCTCCATAAGGAGATCTGTAAATCATTCTAGAATAATTGTACCTCCCTTTTATTTTCAACTAAACAAGAACCAACTCACAAGCCAAATTTCTTTACTGGGGCAATTATGTAAACTCAGTTCATACCACTGTCAGCCTCCCCACTGGGGTTATCTAACTTTTGTTATAGTACTATTTACAAAGGTTAGACAAGGGGCAGCAATAGTCCAGTTTCAAATTCACCATGGCCGCTGAGTAAAAACAGGGAAGGCGCATCAATAGTGTTAGCCTCGACCTAAAGTATAATATTCATGAATACCGACAGGAAAGTGCTGTAAATTTGAATATTAGACAATACACAGAGTGCAAACACATCATCTCCTTGCCGGAATTTGAGAATATATCTGGTTCAGCTCGAGGCTAACACTGTAAAAATGCGCCTTCCCTGTTTTCATTCAGCGGCCATGGAGAATTGGAAACTGGACTATTTGCTAATCAGAAATCCTTTGTATAAGGAATTCAGATGGGCCTTATTTTCCAATTTACATGCTCATGTAAGTAATGTCAAGTTCACTATCATGTCCATGATTTATGACAACTGTTAAGCCATGAAAGTTCACTGCTCATCCTCCTCATCCTCCTGTCCAATTGGAGCATTGAGCAGAAGATTCTTCTTATGCCGGGCCACCCATTTATTGTATTCCTCATTTAGAGTAGGCCAAGGATCAGCCATTATGTCTGCGAATGAATCGTGGTTTCTGTTGGGCACAAAGGCGAATGGTTTAAGATCACGAAGATCCCTGCATACTTTGCTTTCATCTGTTGCAGAGGATTTGTGACTATGTGGAGAATGTTCGACACCTCTGCCAACTTGCTGTTCAAAATTTTCCACTATTTTCCGTTGTCCCCCAGCAGCTCTGCTGGCATGGTCGATTGCTTTGTCAGTTTTGTTTGCACCCATTCCCTGTATCTCTTTCTTGATGTCTTTGTTCCTGTTCTCTCGCAGAATGTCAATTTCAATGTTCTTTCCAGGTCCACCTTTCCAGTTTGCAGTGGCAGCCCAAGTACACTGATGTGATTCTGCTTCTGAAAGTAGCACTTCATTCTGCACAATGTTTATGAATATCTCAATTGCATAGGCATTGAATCCAGGCATTGACTTGAAAAGGGGCAGCAACTGTTTGTGCAGGGTTCCAAGTCTCTTGCCATTTCCTTCCTTTACCACATCCTTAAGATCTGCATAAAGAAAGAAGTACTTCAGGAGACACATGGAGTAGTTTCTGACGAAATCATCATCATTATCAGAGCTGCTTTCATCAATGTCAGGGGCTGGGATGATGAGGAATTCATCAATGAATTTATCCAGAACAGAATGATAATAGCCCCTCTTGTTGTCTTCAATATCCAAAACACGATATGGGGGTCTGTTCCTGGTAGGACGAGCATCTGTGGTTTCCATATTGAAGAAATTAAGTAATGCTTCAATTGTGAAACACCGGCCAATGCTTAAAAACAACTGCTCGCAGTCTTCAAAGTGTTTGACATCAATAGTTACATTTCTTCGTAGCAGTTTTTCTCGAAAGAACCGCAATGTCCCCTTTTCAGGGGCAGAATTCTTGTACAGCTTCTTAAAAATAAGCTACAAAAAATAATTAATTATGGTTCAAGTGTATTTTACATCTAAATGGTTCAGAATCATCCTTAAAGGGGCTAGGTCAAAGTATTTAAAACCTGCCATTTATTTCTGTTAATAATGAGTTCCAAACTTGGTGTACCAACAGTATTTTAGTGACAAACTCACTGCCACATATAACAAAAACAGATGGTCTTGAGATAATTTAGCAACCAGTTCATCTTTGCTGAAATTTGCTAAAATTGCATGTCCTAGCCCATAAATCCACTTCCAAGTCACTTTTCAAAAAAGTGGACAGAATGAAGAATTTTAAACTAAACATAAACGTAATTTTTTTTTGATTTTGAAAAATAAAAAGCAAATTGTTGCTATGTAGCACTGAATTGAATTGCAGTCATCGATAAACTCTTACAAAAGGCACTTATGTTTTTGTTCTGCCGAAGTGGAGACAAGCACTTTTTGTAGACTTAATTGTCAACTGCAACTTGATTTTTCACACTTATTCGGGGCTTGCTTTTTCATATTTAATAAAAAATTATCGGAAAAACAAGGGCATGTCGTAATAAGTAGTAAAAGATTCTTGCAGCATAATGAAATAAATGTCTGGCAATAGAATATCTATTAGCATAAAAATGCTACTGTAACTTTGATGAGCCTGATTATGTTAAACACCCCCCTTTTCATAAGAAAAATAATGTACACATTGCCAGACATTTACTTCATATATATATGATTGGTTCGTAAGCATGAAACTCAGAGTAGCAAATAAATGTTTTTGACCTAGTTCAAGTCTATGTATATATATATATATAGGATGTACGGTAGATATATATATATGTATAATATATATAATTACAATCCAAGAGCTGGGTTATTTAAACATTTACTGCAACTCTTGCTTCTTGTTGCCTGATCATTGCTTCGCAAGAAGCATGAAACTCAGAGTTGCAGTCAATGTTTAAATAACCCAGCTCTTGGATCATAATTATCCATAGCTCTAGCTCTGCTATTGAGCACTTTATAGTAGATGAGGATTTCAATCCACTTAAAAAATGAAAAAAAAAAAAAGAAATGAAATAGCATTTTACCTTAAGGAAGCTTCTCTTAGTGTGCCAGTCCACTATTCTGAATGGATACAGGTGATCCAATCTGTCTTGTGGAGTGTGGCATCCTGCTCGCAAATCTTTTGCACCAGCCAATCTTACTCTTGTTAGTTGGTCGCCATAACAAGGTATTATAACATTTGCTAGAAGATCTTGAATGTGGGGAACTGGTGGCACATGCGAAGCTGGTTGATCCAGTCTAGCAGGAGCTCCAATGGGAGGACCAGGTGGGACATGCTCTGGGTCTGCAGGATTGCAAAGGCCAGCCTTACTGTATATCTCGTGTGTCCAGAGCTCAAGCTGATCAAGCACATCAACAACCTCAGCATACTTCTTTTCATCTTTGAGGAGGACTGGCAGTGGTACCACAACTCATTTGGTTCTCATCTCCGTGTGATACTCACAAGGTGTATGATCAGGGACAAAGTCCTTAAGAAAATCAAATGCTGGAAAGAACTCAACTAAGATTCGTCCAATGAACACTTTGTTCTGCTCCCTTGTACATCTTTTTTCCTCATCATTGAGACTTAAGGTGTCTTTGAGGTTGCAATTTGCCAGACTGTTTTTTGGGCCAGCATCTGGTAAGTGCTTAGAAGAAACACGATCAAATACTATGCTGGTGGCCACAGCATGGACACTTCGGCTTTGCTTGTCAGACCTCATGTCATGCACCTTGACGTCCCAATCAACATTGTCCAGAACAAATACAAATGATCTGCCTTCCTTTACAAGCTGTGCGACATGATCCAGGAAATGTTTCCCTATTTCTTCTTGAATAGAATATTTCATGGATATCTCCAGGCAAAATCCATACTTGTTAAGACTATCTACAAGCTTAAAATAGAATAGAAACATAATTTTGCTGTTTTACCTGAAAAGGATCTAAATATTTCACCATTCCCTGGGAGGCGTGCAGGGAATCATGGTTTTTGCATGCAAAGTCTTAAAGATGTCAAGAGTTGGAGCGTTATATGCATACAACTATCATGAGTCCCTGCACACAATCAGGCATTGGTAACTGAAGAGACTAAATTGTTTAATTTGGCCATGTTTACCAAGGAAATTCCACACCCATTTTTCATGGTCTGTCTCTGCAAACCGTTACTCTCAAATGTACACAAATTGTTCTAAGATTATTAAATTTACCCTTAAATATACCTCAAATACTGAAAACCTGGTTAAAATGATCTTTGCATGGCATAATGTTAGGAAAACCATTAATAGCAATAATGATAATGAAGTCCTATAGAAACCCTCCCAAAAAAATATTGAATTGCAAAATATCCAAAAGTCACAGAAATAATTGCAATGTACAATTGATGGGTAAAATTCTCTAAACCTTCGTTATTAATACATGTAAGACTCCTGAATATTTAAGCTTTATTATAAGTAGTTCAATTCTGTAGTCTACACACCTCTTGACTTGCACCGCCGTCGTTAAGAAGGACTGTATTGACTCGCTGAACACGGCTCAACTCTTTGCATCTCCTAAACATAATGATTCCATATATAAGAGCCAAAGGAGCTGTCTTTTTATCGGAGTTGTGACTGAGTTGGATCATCTGCGATAACAACTTGAACACTGTTGGACATTGAGTCTCTACTTCTTTGACAATCTCCTCGAAGTTTAGCGTACTCATACCGGGAAATCCTCGTTCCCTTACAACCGACTTTGTCACTCTTCGCGCCACCTCTAACAACTCATTTTCTACTGTAACAAGAACTTTTTGCAGAACGTCTTCATATCTGTCTTCGTCAGCTAAAGGGCTTCTTATCTGCAGGAAAATACGAAGGTGAAATTAACAACGGCATCCTTGTCGAGCAAGTTAGTATCTTACGCAGTAATTCTGAAATTATTTGACAAGTAACCGAACAACAAGCCTATGAATGAATGAAAACAAGCTTAAAAATAAATTTACCTTTGGTTGAGCTGGATTTTCTTGCAGATTCATGGTTTGAGAGATTTCCAGTGGCTCCGGTAAGTCATTCTGAAGGTGTGAGAAAATATTTGAGTTGTCATAATCATGAATCACCATACAAACAACGAAATAAATGGAATGCTGTCGTACCCACGCAGAAGAATTATTAATGACAAAAATTATATTTTTCTTTTTCTAACCTCCTTTTCAGTTAAAGACAAGTCTTTTTTATCACCAGCGATGGCGAAATTCAGACCACGACGATGATGAGTACTAGTATCACTAGTATCATCCTTCGTGCTCTTCAGAGTTCGGGGTGCCGACGGTGACGCTTCAATACATCTTTTCACTCTATCGCTCCTTTGGAAGTGACTTTGGCTTTCAGTGATCATGGCCCTGAATGCTTTGAAATTATTTAACTGTCGTTCACAAGGCCTACATAGTAGATGTGGCCTTAATTCATTTCCAGGTGGAGTTCCTCCATACACCGCCTCGCCGCTGCGAGCAATTCTTCATTTGACTTCTTGAAGAGATTTTTACAATACTTAAAGTCCTTAACTGAACCACGCAACCTACAGCAACTTTGATTTCCGTTATCAGACGATGGATAAGTTTTTTTCGGCGTTTGCAAAATATTACCGTCGGACATTGCTGCAGAACAACATATCGTGGAAGCACGTGAAACCGGGTGTATTTTGGCGACAACATATTCCTCACTCACGTAGGCTCAGTATGGACAAAATTAATAATAGGGCGCCCCTCCCTTCAATGATTTAGTTGTCATCTCCCAGATTCTGGGAGACGCGTGACCAGACCCAACCAGGGTCTCTCCTCTCTTGCTTGGGCGGGAAGATGAGAGACCCTGGAAACGAGGTTGTCCTTTAGGAAGCATAGACAACATAAAATATGGTACTGAAAGGGATTTTCCCACTAACCCATTAAACAAATCACGAGTTAGAACCTTAAAAGATTGCACTTAGTTTATTTTCACAACCAGTTTTTATATACTGAACATAGAAAAAGACTGCATGGAGTGGCTTACCAAATTCTCATTTAAAAAAGGCTTGTTTCACCCCACCTGTAAAACATGTTTATCTTTTTTTGGTTACAATAGATCGTGGTGCACATGTCAGAGGAAGTCACATTTATGCACAAATTCCAGGAAAGCTGTAACTATGTAACTACTTTAACCACAGAGTTTTCAATTCGGTGCTGGTAAAATTAAGTGTTCTTGTGTGCAAGTATTTAAATTCAAATCTACCTGGGTCATGCCTTTAATAGATGAATATCCACCTTCTTGGGGGTAAATCTACCTGCAATTAAAGGGAGAAAAACCTTCAGGGAAGTCATCTGGCTTAGCAGTTGGTGACTAGGAAGGGGAGATGGTGGGCCGTTTTTAGTTTATGTTACTACTAGGGCCACAAAATCTTCCATACCAGGTTGACAATACTCTCATATTTTCTTGTTGGAGATATCCTCTCTGCTCTTCATCAAGACCACTGGGTAAGACCTGTGGAAGAAGAACACGAGGGGTAATTTGCTAACATCTTTCAACCACTGAAATAATTCTTTCTTTGGTGAATCTTCTTATTCCTTGTAAAACACTTTCACGGCATCATTTTTGGTCAAACTAAAGTGATGAAGTTTGCTGATCCCTGTTAATTTTTTGAAATAGGGAGAAAGAAAGCTGGCCAAAACATGTGTTTTGACAAGTACAGTTGCATGATGTAGACCAACCAGCTTACCACAATTCATGCCACTTAGGTTTGACTTGTTGTTGGCCTCAAGGATGTCAAACAAAGCAGATGTGAATGTTCTTCATAACTTTTGCTTCAAGAGGCCAAAGCACCAGTCCGGGATAAATTTGGCGAGGAGGAAAGAATACCATGAATTACATGCCAGCACCAATACCAGTGACAGTTATTTTTGTTCTGGCTACCACAATTGTCTGCATGGATGTGGACATTTGTTTTTCGGGCTCCATGCTTTTCAAGCAAATCATGAACGTAGCTGATCGTAGAATTTGCTCCTTTTCCAGTCGCAACTGATTCATCAATGAAATATTTAATCTGCCATGGTATCGATTCACAGCAAATGCCAAATATACCACATTTATTTGGTGTTTTGAAGTAAATGGGACCCAGTTGTTGAGGATTGGTCAGGTAGTACCCTTGCAGGGTGTAATCATGGGTATAAAGCATGGTTCTTGCAAACAGCAAGATCCACTGGGGGAGAGAAGTGAAACCATTGAAGGGCCCATGAGAAAATCTTTGCTGTCATCAACTGCTTAATTATAGATATTTCGTTTGTGTTTTGCTTTCTTTAGGTGATCTGAATGACCATCTACGGCTGCAATTTTGTCCTCTTCTGAAGTTTTAGCATGCCCCGATATTTTCCCTGTATTATCCTGTCAGGTATGGCAAAGATCAGTGGATGGCTGCATTATTTTGACGAGTGTAAGAAATTGGTTCCATGTTTGGACAAATTTGGTGTATTCAAGAACTGTCTATCCTCCGCTCCAGTGGCTTCTTTAGGAGATCTCCATAACTCTGCTTTTGTGGTGGAGATTGGAAGAAGCTTGATCCGAAAGCTCTTGTAGCCCATAACTCTACCTGGCAATGTCAGGCCTTCTCTTTGAGAGTAATTTTCTATGAAGCTGACAACATGTTGCAGAGAAGAGTGCAGAGTTCTGTTGTGTGGCAAGGATTTTGTTTTTCCGTGGACATCGGGGACAACCATTATTTAAGTGACATTTCAGGTTGAAAAGTCTCTTTTTTTCGATATGCAGTGAAGAAACAAAAATGTTTTCCTGGAAACTTGATGACCTCTGAGAAAGTAGTCTGAGCAGGATCGCTTCATATCAGCTCTTTTTTTTTGTATGTCCATCTACCTGGTCTACTAAGGATGAGCATATCCTGTTGGTCTGCCGTCAGCTTCAAACATTGAAACCTCAACTCAACAACAGTGAGTTTCAAAAACAAAAAAGAACAGGGTTGTTCATTTGCTCCGAGACTGCATTGGGAAAACGTGGAAAGAAATATCTGAATGCACTCATCACTGACTTCATCTGAAACATCGCTACGTTCAGGATTCTCGTGCAGATCTTCATGACCTCCATTGCCCTCTTCACATGGTGTCAGTGCCGATGACTTCTCCCACTTGTTATGGGGATCATTACGGAAACTCCCTCCTCGTTCCTGTAATTCAGAAAGCAGCACATTTGCAAAAGAACAGGGATAATTGGTACATTAGTCAGTTCTCTTTAAAATTTGTATAGCCATTTCATATCTGATGGCAGCAGTTTGAACTCAGATTGGACTAGCTGATCTCTCCCTGTGAAAGACTGATTTTCTATTTCAGTTATCTGTGAACTAACGTGGCTGAACACAGTTTTGGCAGTTTTCAGTGTATATCTGCCAAATCATAGCAAGAGAAAGGTTGCAGCTCACAAGCTGAAACTTGGCAAGTGAAAAATATACTGATGAAAGATTTTGATTGACAGGTAAAATGTCACGTTTTTGTTGTTTCCATGGCAACACAAACAATTGAATTCAACCTTAAAATTCCACTTCTGCTCAGTTTACATAATATTCGCTCATTAGATTTTCCTATAAACTTGCACACAGCTTACTATAATTAATCATTACCATTAACAGTTTTCTTTATAAAACACGATAAAAGTAAAAATTCTGCAAATATCACAAAATTTTAGTAAGCAGATTTAAAGAAATCACCATCTGCGAACCATTGCTTTTTTACAACCATGTTTGTTTGTCTTATTTAAAATGCTCCGTCGTGCCATCATGGCCGAATCAGTATATCATGCGAGTTCCCTCTGACCACCCACAAACTGTGGTCAGTCACCTTAAGCATTCTGCCATATACTAGAGACTTTAAGATAAGGTGACTACGGACTATGGTTGGACGAGTGTTGCCCTTTGTTTGTAGCACTGGGTTGAGTCAAGCAAATATAGAACGTTAAGATTGCACTACAGACAGTAGACTACGAGAGAAGAGGCCAAGTGGGAAACATCACGCAAGGATTTTCCTGTTTTCATGTTCAGTTCACAAAAATGGAAGTATTTTGCTTGTGATCGTATCTTTTCAATAATGAACAAATTCTTCCATTCTTATAAGTAAAAACTTGCAAGAGGTGACAGGCTGCACATCTTCACCGGTGTGAAACCTTTGAAAACCTTTTACATATTGCTCCATTGAGGAGAACTCTTGCAGGGATCTTACAGTTTAAAATTTGAATTATGACATAGCTTCTATATAGCGGACCAAGATACGGCTCGGTACAGTTTAAGTTCAGCAAGGGGGGAAATTGTGTCAGTTGAGCAGAACCTTTAAAATGTACAACAGACAATTTATTCAGTTCGCCGGTACTCCTGTTGAATTTGTAGCCCGTTTATGAGATTTGTCTGCTCAAAAATATAATGATTTTTTCATAGCTGTTGTAATCTTAGGGTATCTACTTTTAACATCTCCCTAAAGTTTAGGTTTACGCGATCTCAGAGAACAATGTTCAGCTGTACACAGCACGTAGTCTTTAAATATATCCAGATGTGACACTCGTTTTGTGTATTTATCATGTCTTTAGAAGAAGCATGACTTAAATATGTTATGATGCTGTGTGCTTTGAATGTCGTTTTGAAACTCAATCACTTTGTCAATGTGACTAGTAGTTTTAATATCAGAGGAGAATATTTTAAAGCGCAATATTTTTCAATACCATTAGCATGTTATTTTTTTACCAATCAATTGACTGGCTTCTTTATACCACTACATGTCTGCAGTTAATACAAGTTTACAAGCAAGACCAGTGGTTTTGAATCTTATGATTCTCATCAGTTGCTATGTGGTGGGATGGTTTAGGTGAACTCTGAACCATTCCGTTTTGGATGGAAACTGGTGGGGTTTGATTGGTTCCTTGCAAAAAACCAATCAGGTTGCTGTAGGTTCGATCCATGTTTTCTCAAAGCTAGGTTGTGTTTTTATAAAGGTTTAATTTGAAAAGTAGGTGTCTTGCCTTGCTTTTTTTTAAAGTATAAAATCATGTTGTTAAAATGTTTATGAAGTATAATTGTTCCTCAAAATGGCGAGGGACCATGTTGTATATTTTCGTTTCAATTTAAAGCAAGGCTTACGTTGACTATACAGTTGTGTACTGTAGAGAGTGTAGACATGATTATTTTTAACTGGCATAGCATGGCACTGAATGGCGTGAGTAACTGTAACGGATGACAGACTGCACATGTATGACAGTGTGAAACCTTGAGTTCACCTTTAATGTTTTGTCATTTACTAGTTTGAGCTCTGAGTTGTTTTTATAAAAATGTTTGAAATAATAGATTTTGGGACTTTGTCAAACCTTTTATTAAAATATAGAATTTTTCATGAAAACAAATTATTTGTTAGTTCGTTCAAAATGTGTTGTTCTATTTGTTCTCATTTAAAGGTTGACTTTTTCTTACAGTGGTGTACTGCCCATGAACAGGTTTGTTGTGATCTTATGTTGTTTCACTGGCAGAGCAGGGCACTGTCTGGAAAGCACTGAAGTAAAAACTTGTAAGAGGTGGCAGGCCGCACATCTTCACCGGTGTGAAATCTTTGAAACCCTTTTACATATTGCTCCATTGAGGAGAACTCTTTCAGGGATCTTGCAGTTAAAAATTTGAATGATAATATAGCTTCTATATAGCGGACCAAGATACACCTCTGTACAGTTTATGTTCAGCAAGGGAGGGAATTGTGTCAGTTGAGCAGAACCTTTAAAATGTACAACAGACAATTTATTCAGTTCACGCATATTCCTGTTGCCATTATGGTTTTCATGTTGAAGATCCGTAATTAGATGCAAAACCTTGGTGTGCGTTTCTTTCACCATGGGTTCAGAGAGAGGTCTGTAGTTATGTTTGTTGTCGATTTGTATGTGACCCTCTCTTATTTTGTCAGTTTTGTTCATGACTACTGTAGTGCTTCCCTTGTCTGCTTTGTTAAGGTTGATGTCTGGTTTGCTTTAATTCTGTTAATGCTCTATGTTCCTTGCGTGACAAGTTATTGTTTGGCTTTGTTATTTTTATTTCTGCAAGTTGTGATTTAACTTCTTCCGGATAGCCCTCGAGGGCTACTGATGGTTGAACCGGTTGGTTCCAGTCAGATTTAACGTATAAAGGGTAAGCTTCCCTATTTTTCCGAGGAACATATATTTAAGGCGCATTCACCTTGCAGCATTTTCGAAATCTCGTAGCAACTGTCGTCGTATTTTGTTTCTGTTGATAGATTTGTTGACTGGTATAAATTTGAGACCTCAAGAGATTAAACTAATTTGCACGTCAGTTATTGTTCTGTTTGAGAGGTTCTTAGTATACTTTCCCCCTTTAGTGTTTTGATAACTGACTTTTTTCTTGGAAGACTTTTTTCTCCTTTCTTGACGTGTAGCAGTTTCCTGTGTATTTTTCTAGAGAATGATTTCCCTGTAATTTTGTTTGACCCACCCATGGTGTTGTCCACACATTTAACAGACGCTTGTGAGTACTTTTAACAATTTTTATTCTCTGTCGCTATTTAGTTTTGACATAAGGTAATCGTATTGTTCCTTTAGTTTTTCAAGCCGACTTGTAGTGAAACTTAGTTAGTGCTTCGACAAAACCACGCTTGGCTTTCTGTTTGATAGCCTTAATGTACTTTTTGAACTGTTCGTCTGCCGGTGTGTTGGCCCGTGCAGATTATTTAAGTGGCTTTGGACAAGTGTTCCTTTCCAAATGATTTCTCAAAAATTTAATGGATTCTTCTGTTTTCTTTATCTTTGCTGTTGTGGTGATGGGAACTTTGCTTTCTTTCCTTTTTAAATTTTTCTTTTTTGCTTTGCTCTTCCCTCTTAGTGGTTCTTGTGGTGAGGTTGTCGCTAACTTGTCAGCCTGTAGTCCTTGCTGTCGCTGCTATTTCATCTTCTCCACCAATCAGTTGATCGTATTCTGTGTTAAGCAGGCTCTGAGAGGTGGCATCTCCACTATCAACCTCCATGTTAGTTTTCAGAAGAAATGTGAGTTTTACAAGCAAGACTGATGGTTTCGAATCTTACAATTCTCATCAGTTGCTCTGTAGTTGGAAGGTTGAGGTTAGCTCTGAACCATTCCGTATTGTTAGATTTCGTAGGAGTTTTTATACCCACCTTGATTTGTTTGGAGGGTCGAAAATGGGTCAGTATGATTGGCTCCTTGCTAGACAATGAGGTTGCTGTAGGTTTGATCCATTTTGTCCAAGAGCTTGGGTTGTGTTTATTTTCAAGGTTAAACTATGAAAAATCGAAGTCTTGCGATGTCTTATTGTATAATTTAAAGGCATCCCGTGGTAATATATATTATGTTCAGGTTTTCTTCAAACATCTGAAGCATGAAGTTGTATAGTTTTTTGTAAATTTCGTGCAAGACTTGCGTGTACTTTTGTGTACTGTTCAAAATTCAAATGTGTTGTTTTCGAGTGGTTTCACTGGCACAGCAGGGCACTAGGGAACTTAAGATGCGGACGTTTTCGCGGTGACGGCGACGTGACAGCCCAGGTGGACTGGGCCAGAGGTTGCCGTTCTCGCGCCAAAATTAATTTGCTTAAGATTCTCATGACGGCTTCTGCGACTTCGTCGAGTACATCGGCTGTACTTTCTGAGATTCAATCGCTTTTGTTCGTAGCATGGCCCCATTTGAAGATTTTCGACAACTTCTCATTCTTTAGTACGACGCTAATTTGATCAACGATGAAGATTTCGTTCTCCTTTACGACATGTTTCCGTCGAGAAATCCAAGTTTTCCTTACTACGAGTACGCTTGCTTTGACCTGAACAACATGAGTGAGGCAGAGTGTAAGGCCGAATTTAGGTTTGAGAAAAAAGACCTTCCGACTCTGGCAGAAGCCTTGCAGATCCCACCATCCTTCAAACTACGCCAGGGAAGCATAGTAAGTGGAATGGAAGGCCTCTGCATACTCCTAAGACGGCTCGCCTATCCTTGTAGATTTGGCGACATGGTACCTCGTTTCGGCAAACCAGTACCAGTGCTATCCATGGTCACAAATCATGTGATTGATTATATTTACACCATCCATGGACATCGCATAACCCGCTGGAATGACGCACTGCTTAACCCACCTGCATTGGATACTTATGCTCGATCAGTTCATGCTAAAGGGGCTGCTCTACAGAACTGTTTTGGCTTTGTTGATGGCACTGTGAGACCTATAGCCAGACCAGACGAGCACCAGAGAATGATGTATAATGGTCATAAACGGGTGCACGCCATTAAATTCCAATCTGTTGCCTTACCGAATGGATTGATCGCAAACCTTTACGGCCCCGTAGGTAAAGATCTTTTTAACTTGCTCTTATTTATAAATAAATGTCGATCAGGTTTATGAAAAGAGCAACTCAAACGGAAAAGGTACAAACATTGTTTCGGAAGGTATTTGTTTTCCCCTTCAAGTGTCTGTTTTATAGTATAATCTACGACAAACGCCTTTAGTGATCAGGGCAATGAAAGGTTGATCTCATGACACCATTTAACAGAAGCGTTGCATGATGAAAAACAATGATATTCCATGAAACAAACCTAAGACTTTTAACTTCTTCTTCCAGAGGGCAAAAGGCATGATGCAGGTATGCTGGCAGAATCTGGTCTCTTGCATGACTTGGAACGCCATGCATTTTCGACAGGGGGTCAGCCTCTATGCATATATGGGGATCCTGCATATCCCCTCAGGGTTCACCTGCAAAGACCATTCCAAGGTGCTGCTCTCACACCTCAGATGGAGATGTTCAATGGATCCATGAGCTCTGTTCGAGTGTCAGTGAAGTGGCTGTTTGGAGACATTTTAAACTATTTTAAATTCCTTGATTTTAAAAAGAACCTAAAAGTTGGCTTAAGTAATATTGGCAAAACATATGTCGTATGTGCTCTCATGCGAAATGCCCTAACATGCCTATATGGTAATCAAACCTCAGAATTTTTTGAATTAGACCCCCCAAGCCTCCAGGAGTATTTCAGGTGACCTAAAAACGTTTGCTATCTTTATTCTTTATTTACTGCGTGAATATACACTGACGCAGTGATAGTCAAACAACTGGTTAACAGGTTAACACTTTCCTCCCAGAATCAGCCCTGAGGGGTGGGGGGAGGGGGTGGTGGTACTTTAGGATTTTTTGTGTGGGGGTGTGCCACAGAGACCCTGGAACCCTTAACCTATACCAGAGCTAGTTCAGCTGAATTTTGCTACCCTATACTAGACTTAACTTCCCAAATCCCCCTGCCACTATCCTAGAGTAGCTTTTCGGCTGAGTTGCGTAAATTCAAACTTGTCGATTTGATTTTTATTTTTAGTGGCAATTCCCGGTTTCCCTAATCTAGACTAAAATCTCCCCGTCCACCCCACCCCTGCTTGGGGAAACAGCACAAGCTATAAAAGATCATACACTGTATTATACAAAGCAGACATATTGTTCCACAAAAAATAAAAGCAGTTGTTACTATTTGCATCCACTTATACAACAAATGGCATGCCATTTAGTTCAATGGTCAGTTGTTCAAAAGTTAGATAGTGTTATCCAGCACATAAATCACTATAACGGTTTCTTTAGAGGATGAGCACTTTCCGCCATTTGAACAACTGGTCCCAGTTTAATGCTGATAAAGGCACATACTTTCAAAGTTGAGGCACCTCTAATATCAAGTTTAACAACTTATACATTGTTTTCACAAATGTAAGTATTGAAGAAATAAACCTTTTCACAATACAATAATTTTTGTCAGTTCAAAAAATCAAATCAAATTTATGTTTTGCAATGTAGTCAGGGCTTTCAATAATCACTTGACTCAATTTGATATATGACATATTTTCATAGCCCGTATTCTGAAAGGGTAATCACCTGATTGACACATGCATAATACAGCTAAATTGAAACTGGATCAATGAAACTAGAAAAAAAATGTGATTATGATAATGATAACTCAACAATCAACCACCACTCTAGCAGAAATGGAGTTAAAAGAACAGTTGAATGCAAAATTATGTCACTAACAAGAGAAAAATAATTGCAGTAGTGCAATAGTTGAAAAAGAAAAGTTGCAATAAAAAATGTTAACGCTTTTCCTTGGGAGCCAGCCTCTCAATCAAAGCTAACATAGCCTGTGATTGCTGCTGCTGCTGGTTCAACATAGACTGCATAAACTGTAGTGTTTGCTGTTGGTTTCTTTGCTGCTGTCTATGCTGTTCTTCTTGTTGTTGCTGAATAATCTTTAGCATATCTTGCTGCATTTTTGTTTGCTGCTGCGATATCCGAGATCCTCTTGCCTCTTCCTGCTTTCTTATTTCAATTTCTTCTCTTTTTAATGCCATCTCTTCTTCTGCTTTCTTTTGCAAGTATCCAATAGCATCTCCTGTACTTTTCCTGCTTTTCTTTGGTGGAACCACTCCATTTGTTTTCTCCATCCGTTTTTGAGTTTCTCCCATGGTTTCCATTGCCTTGAACCGCATCTCTTCAGCTGTTGCCTTCTCTTTCTGAAGGCTTTGCTTTTTGTTGCCAGTTGAAGGCTTATTTTTAGCTGCTTCCTCTTTTTCACACAGCTCCTCCAGCAGAGTATCTATCTCTTGTATTTCTGGACTAATACCACTTGCTCTTTCTTCCTCCCTATTTTTTGCTTTGAATTTGGACATTAGAAGATTGAGCCTGTCCCTCAACGACCTTTTGTTCACATTGAATTTGCATTGGGTGAGGTTATTGAGTCTTGTGGCAATCTCATCCCACAATTTTCCTCTCTCAGGGCTCCCCTTTCTGGTTTCAAAAAGATCTGATCCCCTGACCTCTCTCAAAAATAATGTGTCATGTTGATTTGTCCACTCCATTGTGCTGAAAGAGGGAATCAAAGTTTATTTTAGCACTTGATTTCAAAAACGGTGGAAACAGTAGTTTTCCTTTTCCAGACTGAGTCCTTGCACTGATTTACTGAATATTTGCTGGATGAAATTGTTCTGTTTAATACGCACTGTACGTATCCACATAAAGTATTGCTCTAAATTCACAGCACTTCATCGAAGAAATATTTCAAGTGTGGTTATACAAGCCTTAAGAGTACATTTACATATCGATGAGCTATGTAGTGGATTTGTTGGCTAAGTGTAAAAAAATTCAGAACAAAATATTTATCTCTGCACTTTTTAGCAGCCTTCAGAACTCCAAAATTCTTTATCGCCTAAGAAAATTCGGATTCAATATGCCACTAAGAAATTAAAAAATGCATTGAGTCGGTAAAATATATTTATATATATATGTTTTACAAAAAGAATTTGTTGAACGTAACAGCTTATTTATCTTTACAGACTTACTTAGATTGTTTTGTCTTCACTGAACTAGCTTCAGACTCTTCGGTCATTTTCCAGAGTTTTGTCTGTGAAGAGAGCACAAAAAGCCGCTAGAGTTACTTGGCACATCCTCAGGTGGTTTGTGCTAATAAAGAAACTGAAAACAAAACAAGGAATGAAGAGTACAAGAAAGAAATAGCGGTATAAATACTCACGTTTTCACTGCGACGCAAAATCCCCAAACTGACGTCGCCGACGTGAGGGCGACGGCGGGAATGTTGGAAATCGCATGCGCAGTTAAACTCGCCCCAATCCTAATCGGTCTTTACGTCGCCGTCGCGTCGAAAACGTCCGCATCTTAAGCTCCCTGTCTGGCAAAAGTCAACGTGAGAAAATTCAAGGGGTGACAGGCCGCACATCTATACCGGCCTGAAAAAATGCAAGGGGTGACTGGCCGCACATCTATACTGGTGTGAAGCCTTGTGTAAACCTTTTATATTTTAGCTATAACGAGCATGTCCTTTAGGGATTTTGCTTCCTGTCCGCCTAAAGATTTGAACCAAGAAAACTGATCTTCTACACATTTCTTTTGGTTCACAACCCCCACATGATCGTGTAAGTCACTAAGCGGAGGCCTGGAAGCCAGTTCAAGCACAAAACATGGTGGCAAATAGACGGCATGATGGAGAACATGTCTGTCTTTGAAAGCTTTGACTTGTGGTCCCTTGCAGAGTTAAATGCTCTATGCCGATGCTAGCAAAGAGTAAAGTAGTGAGAGGAAAATACAGCATTTTTCTCCCAGGTGACGGAACCTTTGAAAAAAGGCAGCGTGGCCTATCCACAGATGCGGTGAAAAATGTAGTTTGCCGAAAACTCCATGCAAAGCAATCTCATTAATCAGGTTGGTCTCGAGTAATAGGGAAAATTTATTGAAGCCGCTGCACGTGGTGATAAAAAATCGATCCTCTCTCATATACCGATTTTGCAAGGGAAATGGCAGACAGCCGTACTAAAAACAAATTATTTGTATATATTTCTATTTTTTTCCACAGGATCGTTTTCTTTCAATAGTTTATAGCAATAACATTTCTTATGCTGGGAACATGACCGGTGAACAAGAGCAAGTTTAAGAGACTTTTACATTGCCTGTGTAGTTTAAACTTTATACTTTACAAGCTGCCTATCGTTTACGATTTATCAGTCCAATAAAACGTGCAGACTTGAACATGTGGTTAACAAGTTGATGAGTTGCTCGACTAATTAATTTCTATGGAATCCCATGCAAACTGCATGGAATCCCATGGAACTCCCAGAAGCTGTGTTGGGCCAGGCTAGTTAAAGTTTTTTGGTGAAACAGAAAACCTCTTTTATAGAACGTCACCAATTTCCTCCCTTTTCAGTAATGTTTGAAAAACCCATTTAACAATTGGTTCATTAACCTTTAAAGACCAATCGTATGGTCATGTCAACAAGGTAAGTGATATTGCAGGAAAATGATCGTCTTTAAGGAAATGTTCCCCTGTTATTCACCAGTGAGAATAATGTGGGAAATACTCCCAGATACTTCACAAGATTAGAATAACTGCAGAAAAAGTTCCCATGTTATTCACAATTATTTTAAGAATGACTCGGGGAAACGTTTCCATATTATTCACTTTATCGGAACACCTTGGGGAAATGTTCCAATATTATTCACATTACTGGTAATAATTTGGAGAAATGTTCCCATATTATTCACACTACTGGGAATAACTTAAAAATGTTCCCATATTATTCACAACAATGGGAATAACTTGGGGAGATGTTCCTGTAATATTCACACCATTGGGAATTAACTTGGGGAAAAGTTCCAATATTATTTACAATTTTGGGAATTACTTGGGGAAATGTGTCCATATTGTTCACAATTCTGGGAATAACTTGGGTAGCTGTTCCCATGATGAGTAGCACAGTCACCCCTCCATTTACTGTTACAAGGGATCAAAAACCATTTTGTTTCATTTACAAATTAACTGGCTATAAGGCTTCTGTTTTATATGGATACAACTAATTACTTCAAAATTTCTGCTCAACATCGGTTCTATGCTAATTAGACTCATTTCAGTTTTTCCCATGATGCAATGTGGGTGTGGCAAGATTCCAGTTTTTAGAAAATATAGTCACAAAAGCTAAACAAAAGTTACAGGAATCACACAGAAGCTGCAAATACTGTTTTGTTATTCACAAAGAAGCAATTTTCTCCTCATTTTCGTTCAAAAGCAACTTGTAGATATATTTGGGCCCCTTTTTTTGCATGGGATATCACCGCATATCTGCCTCACAGTGGAAGCATACACAACTGCAGTTCGGTTCTCATCTAGAGTGAATGTCATATCATGGATGTTGTCTCGCAAATAGAAGTGTCCTTTTAACACTTGTGTCTTTCTCAGTGCAGTGAATTCATAATTGTCTGTGTAGTTCTCATCTAACTCCTCCACCCCCTCTGATGTGAGTTTGAGGAGGGAGAAGTCATACATTGGGTCATCATCGGCAGCTATGGCTACAGTGGTCCCCTTGACTGCTAAATCAGCTATGTGAGAGGCTGTGTCTTGGTCTAGGCCAAATTCTTGTGTAGTCTGCCTAGTGGTAGCTACTGAGCCATCTCTGCTGACAAGGACCTCCTTCCAATCATCCAGCCATGCTTTGTTAGAGCAGTTCTCCTCATCGTCAAGAATGCAGCTAATGCAGTAGCAGGAACGTTGTCTTGCAAGCACTTTCTCTTGCTCTGAGCCAGATTTTATGCAGTGCAACTTCCTGATGCCCTTCACCTCCTTGAACTTCCTCCCTGGTCTATTTCTGATGACTGCCCCTTCACCCTTACCAGGAACATAAAAGGACACACGACGCTTCAGTTGAACAGAGTTTGAACTTGCAGTGAAGCTTGATGCTGCAGGCTGGGTAAACTTCTCTGTTAAAAACTTGTGCATAGCTTTTGCGCTGTTGATGGTGGCTAATCTGGTAAGGACTGCTTGGCTGACTTTTTGTTTCACATGCGATCCGGCTGCATCTTGCTCTCCTTTAGCATGCGATGTCTTCAAATAATTTCTTTGAATGATAAAGCCAAAGTCAGCAAGAGAGCAGGACAGGTCACCAACACAATGCCTGGACTTGGAGTGCCTGGGGTATTCAACAAGGAGCTCCTTGAAATAGCCAAAGAGCTCAGATGGTGGTGTCTCCTCCTGCATTAGGGCGATCTTCTTGTAGGACTCCCGCCACTTCATTCCTAAGAGAAACCGGTCTGATGGGTGGACTGGAATATTACGGTAAGCTGCCTCAACATCAAACTTGGCCATAAGTGCCCCTCTGCCGAGTCGGGACACCATGCGGATTTTTTGGTCAACTGTTATGTAATGAAAGGTAAACTCATGGGCATTGATCCCATCATTGACGCTTGCACCACCGGGGCAAGAGAGGTCCACTATCAAACGCTACTTCCCAGGCTGACCCTTTTTGGGAATAACCCCGAAGCTACTTATATGAAGGTTGGGGAGAGGAGGAGATTTGAAAGGGCCCGCAAGCCTACCCCGGGAAACCTCATGGGCCAAGAACTTATCAATAACCAAGAGCTGCTGGTAGGCTGAAGGTTTGTTTTCTTTAGCTGATTTTAGTGAAAGCGCAGGCTGAAAACCGAGCTTGAAACCGTTGTGCAATCCGTCCAATACAAAGTTACAAAGCTGCCGATTCGGATGATTTCGCAATTCCCAGGCAAACTGATCCACCTTTGAGGGGAGTTATTTCCGACACCGGGGGAAGTGGCACTAGGAAAAGGAAACAAAACAATATCATACAATAGGATATCATAAAAGAACTGTTTATTTGTGCTATGTCATTAAAGATAGAAAGGACCAAGTAGCAACAGACAGCAAACGTTACGCTTAAAAAAGGAGAGTTCACGTTCGCCGAGACTTGCTGGAGGAACGGGACGGGGATCGCGAGCGGCGGCTGGACTTGACTGGGGGCTGGGCTGGCTCTGACCCTGGGCAGTTGACAGCACGATGTGCGCCAGAGCAGCTGGAACAGTGGTGAGCGTAACGACATGAGGCATATGGGGCCACACGACGACCTTTGTTCCATGACTTGCACAGAATATGAGGTACTTGCTCCAGCTGGTTCTGATGATTCAGGGGAAGAGACATTGGGTCCGCGAGCCGAGGCTCCCGCAGCATGGAAGTTGAATAGCTGGACGTTAATGGACGACCAGTCAACGACATTTGCAGCTGCAGCATGCTCCCGGAACATTCTGTCATAGGCCAGCCAGACCTTCCTGCTAAACTGACGGTATGTCCTCAGGATGAGTAGTTTATACTGCAATAGGTCTCGAGAGTGGCGTGGGAAGGAGGAGATCATAATAAGGCAATAGACAGAGAAGTTCTCCATCCAATTGGCCTTGTCCTCAATGCGGCGTTTAGGCTTCTTCGGAGTAGAGGTCAGCACAAGACGACCGTCAAACAGTAGCTGAGGCTCGGGTTTGGCAGACGCAACAGTCGACGGGAGCAGATTGCCCAGGTCAATGAACTTCCCCGCCACCACCTTGCCGACTACTTTCGCAGGAATGGGGGAGAAGCCAGGACCGACAATGAAGGGTTGGTTCAGCACAGGGACGAAATGTTGGCCTGGGGCAACGTGGCAACAGATGAAACGCTATCCTGGGACGACGTGGTCGCCATGTTGGCAATGGACAGTGAATGCGAGGGGTTCGGGGGCAAAAAGATTGACACATAAGTGGGAACAACCAAAGCTGGCCTACCTTGAGCAGCAGAAGCTCCTGTGGAGGTGGAATGTGCAGCAAAGCCTGCTCCAGAAGCAGCAAAAGCGGAGGCTTGCGAAGATAGCAGCGAGGGAACATCCCCAAAGGCCATCGCACTGGACAGGTTAGCGGTTGACAAAGATTGGCCTGAGTTTGGCAGGGCCGTAGAAGCTGGGCAAGGTACCGAAGCCTGTTCCGCCGCCAGAGCAGCCTTCACAGCTTGCACAACCGTAGCCAGAATCTCCGGGGACGGTTAAGATGGTGGATTCGTGGCAGCAGAAGCAT